GCTATGGAGAATTTTCGCGGAACACCTCTTCAAGATTTCCTCTTCTGTACGGCCCTCCCCCTCTCCATCCCCTGGTCAGCTTAACATCTTCAATTTTCCCAAGTTCTTGTCGCTTTTCCGAAGTTTTCTCCTACGGAGTACCTGCACCTCCCCTCAAACGTGCCCTCTAGTGGTGGTGGGTATGTGGGCAGGTGCTATCTTCCTCCCTCCAGCGAATAAATACGACCACTGGGGATCCCCTCAATATACTTGCCCTGGTTCCGAGATTAGGCAGAAGTGCGGGCTCTATCAAGAGCACCAATCAGTCTGAATTCGCGCCGTTTTTTTATCCAGATGTTTTTTCAAAGTTTTTTTTGGTCAAGTTCAAATGCCACAGAATTCTGAATTGATGATTTCGTAGAGACTACCTCAACAAGAGCATCGCTATTTGATTAAAGGATGCATTTCGATAATTGTATGCTCAGCAATCACGCACGCAAAATTTCCCGCGTGCTCGAGGAAAATTCGTTGAAACTTAATGTCTGTGAGGAATCATGGGCAAAGTCCTGACGGAGGGGGGGGGGAGGCAGAGTACGCGACGGCGCGGTTGGGCCGATTCATGCCCTACCATGACATTCCACAGTGATGTTTTTGAAGGGTGTTTTTTTGAACAAAGGCAACGGATTTCAAATTCAGCACAGTAAACAGGGGACACAGGGGACACGCCAAGGCATAACTGGCACAGCCGCGCCATCACGTCACCCCTCCCCCCAGTATTTTCCCCCATAACCCTTCACAGACATCAAGTCTCAACGGATTTTCCACGAACACGCGGGAACTTTGCGTGGGTGACTGCTGAGCATACAATTATCCAAATGCATTCCCTTAATCAAATAGCGAGTTCTTGTTGGAATATTCTCCAGGAAATCATCAATTCAGAATTCTGTAGCAACTTTTTCTATCTCTTATTATCATCTATTACCTCTTATTAACTTACTTCCTCTCAATGCTTCAATACCTGGCAATCAGTAGGAGCGAATGCTCAGGGATCGTTCACGCTTTCACGAGTAGCAAAAAGCCAATAATTTACAAGGTAGGAAGCCGTAAAAGCTGGATTAATAATAAAAACCCCCTCCCTTCCAATCCCCCCTACTTCACTACACCTTGACGATAGCCTTTTTACACCCATCACAAACTCCATTAGAAAGGCTACTGTAAAGAGGCTATAACACCTCATTTCACGGCACCTCATCGAATTTTCATGAGCATTTCACTTCAGTACTGGAATACGAATGTCCACCATCGTTCAAAATGAAAAAAAAATGGAAAAGACGGTTCCCTTCTGGAAGATGACCGCTATTTCCCTCTCGTCCAATAGGAAATTGCTGAAATCGCTCGCATAGAGGTAATAGTTCTCCCGAAAAGTGGGCCAAGCGTGCCTTTTAACATGGGTCCTATTCAGCTTTACTGTCATTTCTTGGAAAAATAAAAGGAGCTCCACCCACATTTATCTAAGAAAATTTTGAAGCCACAAAGCACGACAATTCGGTACTTGCTTAGAAGCAGTAGCTGGGGTGCTATATAGTGGGACAACTACGAAAACGCACGGGTAAACGACCAAAAACCTGCGAAAAATCTGTTTTGCACGGCACTGGACGAGCATTTTTGGACGAGTTTCCCGTACAACCATGGCTAATTTCGAAACAATTAAAACTCAGAACTTTCAGAAAACCAGTTCTAGCTATATGAAGTAAGTACGAATGCAAATGTATTGAATACTAACTCAAATGAAGGTAGCACTTTTAATACTCACACTAGTGTATGCCGTTCCCAGTTTCGATTCGAACGATTTGAAAAGAGACGAATTACGCATATCGTTCCACTTGTGTTTCACAGTGTCTGCAGTCGCTGCAGCCACTTCGGACGTTTTTTGGAATCTGCAAATGGCTATATTTCATCCGCATTAATTGTAACCTGGAAACAAGACTTTGTTTTTGTTAGGCGTTTCGCTTGAATGAAGAGAACTGCTCGCACATAGGGCATGTCGTACGTTGGGGCTGCGCGGCAAGGGGGGGGGATGTATTTGGTCTCCGAAAGGGGAGGAGGAAGAGGGTGCGGGTCGCGTTCGTCATTGTGAAGAGTGTTTCTGGTTGGTGACATTCCATCGTTTTTCCTCTTCCGGGTGCGTTTCATGCCGAGTGTTTCGAATGGAAAACTTCGAGGAGGGGGGGGGGGGGGGGAGGGGGGAGGTCGTACGTTTCCTAACGGCAGGACGTGGTCTGGTGGCTCCTGACAATCGCAGCAACAGCAGCTGAAAACTCACAAGCAACATCAATAACACCCGACGAAAATCTGATCTCAACTCTATCACCTCCACCATTCCCACCTCGCTCAGTGCTACTCTAGTTGCAAAACACGGAACACGACAGCACTACTCCAGTAGCACTTGTCTCGTTTTTCAAAAGGGTTATCGTCAAAAGATCCAAAGGAAATTTCTAGAAACATCCCACGTTAACAACAAAAAAAACATATAAATGGGTAAGCAAGTGAAACAATGTGAAGGTCTCGTCTCTTCGAAATAGACGGAAAATCCCCGAATGTTCGCGTGCAGTTTTCATTGCTCGGAGAGAAATTAACCGGAGTCGGGCGAGGAAATTAAGCTCCGCTACGAGCACTTGAGAACCAATCACGACAAGATGGACAATAATTTCTTCCTTGGGAAGCTGTAGCCTTCCTTCAAAAAATTAGATAGCCAGATTTGGTTCACACCACAAATCATCGTTTGATTCAGTTGCAGCCTAGATGGGCCCTGAATCCTGCTTAGCTCGTTCTAAACCAGTCAAGATGCGAGCTTAACGGTTTTTTCTGCACAAAATTAGCAACTTTCCCAGCAGCGTAGGATATGGAATCGAGGTCCTCACCCTCATTCGTGCATTCTGGTAAGCCTGGCTCTCAAAAACACCGCTCGAGACTGTTGGGTAGGTGTAGCTAGGAAACAATATCGTTGGAGAGCCCCTTCCTCTTGTCACCTTCCTCACCCCTTCGTGATGCAGGAAGAGGGAATGCGCACCAATAAGCTTTTACTTACCCCGCTTACGCGGTAGACCCGAACAGTTTATATAAGCTGTTCTTTCTCCCAAAAAAGAATGCACCTACGCTCAAAACAAAAGGATAAAAAGAAAGAATAAGGTGCCTGATGGAAAAACTATATTGAAGAAAAAAATATCATCTCCGAAAAAGCAAAGGTAAGCTTACGCTTCTGTGTCCGTGACAGCTTTGAGCCCTTTGTTGATATCATTTCCGAGTTCAACCAACGGATTCAATCCCAGCTTACGCTTAAGCTCAGAAGCATGCTTCTGGCGAGCGAGAAGCACCTGCTTCAACGTTTGAATTTCCTCTTCTGTCTGAAAAGTCATGAAAATAACAACAGAAGATTAGGATACACCAGTTCAGTATAGGTCCACTGTCCCATAAGTTACTTGTTACTACTCGCCACGACGTCGCCTCACGTCTTATGACAAATCTACGATGACGAATCCGCGCGAATAGGGTATGGGGCTTACTTCCTCTTATGAGTGCGGCGAAATAGTGTTGCATGCGGGATGGTGAGCACAGCATTCGCTTCAGGACCCAATGCACTCAGCGAAGGAGCGCAGCGGCTCTACCGGCTCTATATATCTGCGTATTGCATTTCGCCTAGCTCTCTCTGCGCCTGCGTCTATAGTCAGCTACATAGGAAAACTTGGTATGTGCGCGATGCGCGCGACAAGAGCATTACGCTCCAATTCGCGGCACTGCGCGTACCCGTACCCCTGCGTCAATTTTTCAACTTTTATGTCGGAAAGTAATCGGTGCGGCAAGTGGTGAGGATTACTGTCTATCCCTGGAATGAAATAGCTCCAACGCCAATCTATTAATGGTAAAAGGAGGTTCTCGCATGTCGTGAAAAGCCCCCCTCCCCCTCTTCCACGCCCATAACGTGTAAGAAGACGTTACGGCATGCTCTAAAACGTAACATTACCGAATTAAACTGCCTACCTATATTGGACTGGTGCCAACAAAAGCTAGTCTTTACAATTACCTTTCGCAACTCCTCCTTTAGAATAGCAGTCTCAGCATCACTTAGCTGTGTAGTGTCATCATATGTATCGAACACAGGGTCGGCAGCTGCAAACCTGTTTCAGATCAGTGACTTTAAATTAATCACATATAAATAGGAGAGGAACAGTACCATAGTAACACCAGGAGTATTCTTTTAGGTTAGGGGGGATCTGCGGTTTACAAACAGACTGAATCCCATCAATCGCGTCAATTTTCTTTTCCTTTCCTATACTCTCTCGTCTGCGTGAGTTTTATTTTACTGTGACTTCATCGATTTAGATTCCCAAGCATGACCCACTCCAGGTTCCCTGCACCCGAAAATTTTGATCCCCTGACCAGCCAGCTGTGTTTTTTCACCTTTTGATGCTTCGGCTTCTGTAGCTCTGTCTACATGGATTTTAAAGCAATACCGCACACATATTCAAGTACTCGCGTATCTCCGTTTGAAGAGGTGAGGGGGGGGGGGCGTGTGACCAATATAACGAGCAGTTTTATAAAATTTCGTAACTTGTAAAGCTACCAGTTGATATCACTGCCACTTGATAAGCCTGGGCTTCGCACCACTCAAAATGACTGGTACAGTCTTATGCGCTGCGGATGCTGAGGCCTGTCAAGGGGCTGGGTTTGGCGCTGCGCCAGCCCGTTGTCCATCAACTGTTGAGAAGGGTAAGCGACAACAGTTGATGGGAAACAGGCTAGCACCTCCAAGCCACGCCTCCTGAAACGCCTCACCATCTGCAGCGGAAGACTGTAGTTGTGCTCAGGGTCACCATATACCAACAAAGGCGAACATTTCGGCACCAGGGAAAAATTTCGACTAAAAAATGACCTGAATTTAGAAGAACGGAGCAGTAAAGCTAAACAAAACCAAAATTTTGCATAATGGAAGGCATTGAGTATTGGAAAAAGTGACTGCGAGCCCAGGTAACGCTATTAGCCTAACCCCATGGGAATTTTCGGGACAGGTTATTCCTTCGTGCAAAAGTGTTCTTCCCATTCTATAAGAGGTGAATCATTCAACCCGGGCCCATTTTTCACCTCCCTCTTGTACCATTTTGCTTATTTCCAGATAGTACGGCCTCAAAAATTACGGTCACTAAGCGATTTCTCCATATTAATCGACAGACATCAATAGCATCGATACCCGACGAACAGTTTGATCCGTTCCTAGCCAATCATAGGTTAATCCGTCGCAAACAGAACATGTCCCAATTGCCATCGACCGCGCCATGTGACGCTGATACGCAAAATGAAACCGGTACTGTTTCGTACCCCAAAGCCTTACAGTCTACTAGCCCCAATTAAAGTGTCCGCTAACTCAATAGACATGCCTCGTCCCCCTTCCCCATCCAAGTGGACCTGCTCCTAATTAGACACTGAATTATATTAAAACTCACATTCCATTGCAGGGGTAGCCATGACGAAATCGAAAGAGCAACGATAATGACGCTAACGAATGAAACGGCGAAAATCGATAGGCAAGTCACACGTTCACGACTGAAATTAAATGAGTGGCGGATAGGAATAAATGAACGTCATTGTGGTAGCGAACGTCTGGGACACGATAACGGACGATAAAATCAATGGCCACGACAACAACATTTGAGTCACCATCAGTCACGACTGTTGGGGATTGGTCTATGCTGAAACTCCCACAAAACAGCGACAAAATGCCAATATCGCATCATACCAGTAAACACTGAACGACCGATTGACACCATAATAGAGACATGTGAGTGAAACTAAAGAAAAACCTCGTTATATGGGCGCGTGACGCATGCATTTATGACAGCGTTCACAGCAGCCTGGAACAGTGCAGTCCACATTCGCGGCATGTAGTGGAACGGAGGGGGGGGGAGGACTACCCGGGGCCGTGCCTCTGTAACTATTCCTCAAAAAAGCTCAGGCCTAGAGGGAAACGACCAGAGAGAAGACGGCCAAGACAATCGTAGTTTGCCGCTCAGTCGCGCACGGCCTTAAAGGCAGTTGGCACGATAAATCCCCCAAGACGACTAGGATAGGATCAATACTCCTGGCAGGATAGAATTCCGCGACCCTGGGCAGGCGCTGCATAGCGGTTTCCCCGAGGAAGGTGCCCTTATAAGGGCCCTATCAAGCCACAAACTTTACGCCCGCCCGCCCACAAATGGACGACCGTTCCTGACGCTCGTATTCATTTGCTAAGCAAATTATGAAGCGAAGGGATTGGTATGAAGCGGCCGTGATGCTGCATGCATACATGGGTACACATATGCAGCCGTATCTTCGGTAGCGGTGATTGGTAAGATGCCTACGGGAAACTCGTCCGAAATCGATTTACAG